GTTTAGAGATTCTATGGGGTTCTTACCATTGAAGATGCTCTAAAACACATCACGCATACAGGCCCGGTCCAATGGTTTAAAAGATCTTGTGCTAAAAAAAAATTAGAGCCTTTTTAATAAAGTTTATAAATATTTAAAGTCTTTTGACAAAATTTATATAAATTGAGGGCCTTTTTGCAAATAAAAGTTTAACTAAAATTGTGGAACCCATAATGGGCCCTGTGCATAAGCACTCTGTACCCCCTATAGGACCAGGCCTGCCCGCATAAGAGTTGTTTGTCGTATTTATTCACTAACTATATTTTAACTCACGCCAAGCGTGAGATTAAATAATTAAATACGATTTAAAAATTTAAACGTGTATGACAAGTGACAAAACATATGATTTTTGATATTTATAAATGTACAAAAATAATATGTATTGTGCATAAATGTAATAAAATTAAATTTTGGTCAAATAAATTTTGTTGCCATTAGTTGTAATATATTTATGTGTTAAATTGATCAAAATATATTCAAAGGTTATTTATATCAATATATTTTAAGCGTAAAATCAATTTTTATTATTCGTATAAATTATAAAACATGCGATAGATCAGATAAATTAGATATATATGAACTTGTGAGATATAACTAACTAAAAACAATATATATTTTTCAATAATAAAATATGTAAATGTAATTATATATGTATATAATAGATTACATCATAAATAAAATATTTGTATATAGTATATCAATCTAAATACATATATACACAGTAAAATAATTTTATTACAAATATAGTAATAAAAACTTCTTTATAAACAAAAAAAAATTCAAAATAGATGATACGGTAAGTCTAAATATTACATTTAGTTGGGTAGATTTGTAAAACATGTATTAATGGGCTTATGATATAAAATTAATAAGTATATGTAGAGATTTTCACCATTGCATGTAATTTTAATTGAGATATTCGTATTGATTAATTTAAATGATATGTTCCTTAAAACCCACACATTGAATGGCATCCTAAAATTTTTTTACCAAATGTCTAGAGGATTAATATATAGAGGATTATTAACTTTATTATGCTTAGTAAGAGTAAATCTAGTGATATAATATGTGACTTTCCAAAGTAATCATGCTTCAAGACTTCAAGTATAGGGATTTGAATCTTAAATCTACCTAATCTAGTATCCGATCCGGTAAGATTAATACTATAGGTCAGAGACGAAACTTTTTGCTAATCGAAACAAAAAATATAGCTCTAATATTAATACGTAACACATGAGCAAACCTAATATATTTACGTATTATGTATATAGAGAGATTTTCCAAAATGCACAATTCTTCGACAATCACATTTAGACACATTATAAATTCTTCTTTTTAGTTTAATGTGAAATTTTGACATATATGTCTATTCAAATCCGTTATATGATTGTTATTGTTTTTGTCACAACACAATTTATGTAGGGATTGATTATACGAAAAACACATTTGTTGTACCGTTAAATAATATTAAAAATCTAAACAATGAACTCCACTAGACGTTATAGTCATGGACCATACTCCATATATATCAAAACTAAACCAATCGTGAGTGCATGAGAAAGACGAGTCGTGCATGCATGGTTGTTATGGGATGGGACATGTAGTCCCTTGACTCTTTGTTATCAGATACAGTCATACAGTATACGTAAACTTATGTGGTATAGGCTCCGAATGATGATTTCCCGTACCGCACTAAACAGTTGCAAAA